TGCGCATCTATACTGCAAGGGTTCGTTTGATTGCATTTATTTTCATAAAAATGTCACTTTTCTACTCAAATTCCTATCTAATTTTTTCCTACTTTTTATAAAAGATTGAAAATTTTTATACCCTAACTTTCCTTCTTTTCAAGGAAAACATTTTCTTTGGGGGAAGTGGGTTTTTGTTTTCCTCAAAATAAGAAAAATATTTTCTTTTTTAAAATATATTTTTCATACCAATCAAACACACTCTAAATGATAATTCCACTTTACATTGTTTCCTTGTTACCTCCTTTACTAAATAATTTCAATACATGTGCACATCTATATTCTAAGGGATAATTACAGTTGACATTGTTTCTTTTGCTACTACATATACATTTAGAAATCATAAGATACTTACATTATATTTAATAAATATTATTTTCAACAAAAGAGACCAAAAAAAAAATCTCAATCCATGTCCATACGTATATTTTAAGTGATAATTGCAGTTGACATTGTATCCTCCTCTATTAAATAATCTCAATCCATGTGCTCTCTCTATATATATAACTTATAAGAATTACAAGGGAATTTAATTTAATTTTTAAATCATTCAATAAACGTTATCTTTCAAAATGAAATAAAAAACAATTTCAATCGATGTTTCGAAATAAACAACATTATCTTTCAAAACTTTTTTTTTCTATATACTCATTTTAAAAACTTTATTTTTGCCAACTAATGGCCATCGAACAGATCACAGATGCATCATAATCCTCGAGCCCTCCAAGTTATATATACCAGTCTTTCTTGTCTTCTCATCTCAATGAGAGGTCAACTAACCACAATTTTTCTTCTCTTTAACCAACAATGGAGACACCGGTGCTTCCCTCCTCTTCTTCAGATCCTTCGTTCCAGTTGAAAAACCCCTCGTATCCTTCCTTTGGTCAAGCCTCTAACACCTGTTTGGAGGTGGACGATTCAGGTACTTTTAGAACTATACTAGAATTATATTTACATTTAACTAAAATTAAAATTAATAGTAGAGGTCTCCTAACTTTTCACGCGAGTTGCATTTTGATCTCAGACCTACCGAAAGGCACATTTTTATGCCCCAACCTTGTAGCTGGATTGTTTGAGAAAAGCTCTTGTTCATAGATAGGGACTAAAATGTATTCGTGTAAGGTTGAGGACTATTATGCAAATTTCTCTTTATTCTTTTTGGCTAATGCTGGTGCTACCGATCACCGTTGTGACCAGGCCCGGCCCTGAGGCGAGGCGGATGAGGCCTCCGCCTCAGGCCCAAACGTGGAGGGGGCCTCAGATTTTGGCCCCAAAAAAAAATTTTTTTTTTATTTGAGATTAGGCCCAATTCTAACCTAAACCAACACCATCACGACTCACAGAATCATAGTCCACAAATCACTCTCCTTCCCGCTCTCAATCGTTCAACTCTCCAACTCCAATAATCCTCAATCCGCCAATCAACCGTTCTTCAAGCCGACGCCGGAGTGGTGTTTTCCAGATGCAAGGGCAGTCTCCCACTCTTCTTCTTCCTTCCTTCAACTATTTTTCGTTTGAAGCCTTGCCCTAAATCAGCAATCGAGTTCCGGCTGCGGTTGACTGCTTTCCCTAAATCAGCAATCCATATTCCAGCGATTCGCTTTTCAAGGACGGTTGACTGCTTCCTACTGGTAGTGGAGTGGTAGTTTGGGACTGGGTCTGCGGCGTTTGCCGTCTGCGACTGCGACATGGGCTTCTTCTGGAGTTGCTGGTCTGGTAAGTGGGCGATGGCCGATGGGCTGCGTAGCTAAGTATCAGTTTTGTGGCTTTTGTGATTTATCATGACATTGTGAAGAAATTGGAAAATATGCTTAGAGCACTTTAGAGATTCTTCTTATTAAAATTTTTCATATACTTCAACAGATCAGGAAAGTAATTACCTGATACCTTAATAATGTTTAGCACTTACAAGTTTACTCTATCACTTGCAAAATTTCTTAATTCCTAACATATAGAGAAAGAACATAACCTATTAATGATTGACTGATTGTTATATTTTAATCTTTAGCACTGACATACTTCAAACATTTTTTTCTTCCTTCAGCAATGTTACAACAATATGATGTTAATAACTAAACAGAAATAAGAACTACTCATAATCATAGAAATACCTAACTCTGTTGGCAGATAGACTGGTGCAGGCAGGATGGTAGTGTAGGTTGCATGCTAGGTTGAGTGATCGCTTGCGTGTTAGGACCATTCATAGGTCTAAACAGAACCAATAGATAATGTGTGATGTCAATAAATATATGCTAGCATCAAGTAGGAAGACAGGGACTAAACTGCCTACTTTCAATTATCCATATAACTCATATCAAACAATATCATCCAAACCCATTGTTGTTCACCTGTGTTTAGATAGGTTCGATTCTTGTCCCATTGTAGAGTCAAAACATATCAAGATTCTTCAGATTTTTGACAATT